TTCTCACACTAAACCTTCTTTATTCAAACCTTCCAGAATTCTCTGTAAGACGTCTGTGATGATTAACCCACTAGCTGCAGAGGCGTCTTCACTGTGTGTGGCGTAGCAGTGTTCCAGAAGGCCTTGCTCTGCTTTGCGTGTCCCTCTGTGTTTCTTCCTATTTGCCGTCCTCTCTCCTGATTAGGTCTCCTTTCCCACAGCGTCTAACACAGTCTATTCATTAAATGGGACAATAATGATTCTTGGACTTAAAAAAATTTACCTGCTTGGAGCAAAGTGGAGTCTCCCCCACCATGTTACTTCGGGTAAACCAACTTAAGGCACAGGCCTTTTTATTTTGAATTTGCTTTCTTCTGCACATGTGGGGCTGATTCTGAACTTCCTGTTTCACTTGAGGATAAACCACTTTTTAAATCTGAATAATGATTGCTAGTAATACTGTACAAGTTTACAGTTAAAATGGCTTTTCATATCTATTTCACTGGATCTTCACAACATATTAGTTTAGCATGGCTTTTGGAGTCCAGCTGAATTAGGGTGGAATCTTACTGTATCACTTAGTAGCTGTGTGATTTTAAGTTAGTAACTGTAAGGGAGGAAGACTTTTCCTCTACCTAATGTGGATTCATCTGGCCGGAGAACGAATTAAATTCACAGGAGACAGAATAGCAAGAGAAAATTAAACAAAGCTTTATGAGGACCATGGCCCGGGGCCTTTCTTCCAGAAGGAAGAAAGGGCACTGAAGAAGTGGGGTGCACATAGTGGTTATATACCCCCAAACAGGGTGTTTCACATATGATTAAAATGTCCCTCCCACAATAGTCACAAGATTGCCCTTTCGGCACAGCGCTTGATGGACACAGCAGGTAGTGGGTCTGCTATCTTGGAGGGCCTAGCAGGAGGCAAGTCTATTGTCTCAAGCTGGGTGATCACAGGTGAGCCCAGCAATCAGTTCCTAGCCTAAGGAAAGATGCTTAATCCTTAAAGAAATGCCAACGTTGGGAGGGGGAGGGAAGTCAGTTACAAGAGGTTACAATAACCAAATGCAGATTTAAGTCCTTGCCTTCCTCATTGAGTAAGAGTTTCTAGAGATAGGGTCATCTCCCCTTCTTCCTGGTACAGAAGGAGATATCTTTTACAGATGGAGATTTCCTTCACAATGTAAACGTCTCCTAACAAAGGGCAAGCAAGTTCAACTTTTCAGTTGCTTTCCTGTCTGCAAAGTAACAAGCCACAAATAATCATCATGCCAAAGAGACATATCTTGGAGTGGCCAATTCCAGGCTCCCACATTACTTAACCTCTTTGACCCTCAGTTTCCTCATTGTAAACTTGAAGAAAAACAGAATCTTGCGCCTTAGGATGATTGTGAAAGTCAAATGATATATATAAATCATGTACCGTGGTCAGAATTTAATCAATGGGATTGAAGCTGTCAACTGCGAAATAACCAACAACCATACTATAGATGAGAGATAAGGCAAGTTTTACTTGAGCCAGGGTGCGGATCATAACCCAGGAAGGCAGTTTCCATAAAGAAAGTGTTCAGGAGGAGCATGGTTTTCAGTACAGTCTCTGTCTTTTTAGAACAAAGAACATACCATAAACACGCCCAGGAAAGTATTCCTCAGAGTTTCAAAGAGGTATTCAGTTGCAAATTAGCAGGTCAACATGACCTTGATGTTGGGAAAGACTGTAATATGGGCGTTACCCATAGGGCGTAGGAGGGGAAGTATGCATTCTTATCTTGAGAGAGTGCATTCTTTACTTTAATGGTTAAAGCAGATGGACTTCGTGTCTCATAGGCCATAAGGCAGGCTTCTTCACTTCCAGCCAAATCAGTTTTGAATCAGCGTTGTTACTCCATATACCTCAATATGTGAAAATCTTTTGTCAACACCAACTACTGAATGGGAGTTATAATTATTTTATAAACAAGGAAACCAAGACACGGAGTGCAACAGAAGCAACGAGAAGACTGTGAATAAAGAAGAATTTAGATTCTAAATGCCACATTCTCTGCCATCCCAGCAAAGCAGCCTGCAAAAATCTTCTTCACACTTTAATTTGATCTTTATAACAACTCGAAGAGGTTTATGCAGAAAATTACTCTTTAGCTGTGTGGGGAAGTGGATTTTAATGGATGAGTTTTGATGGCTGTTCAAGCTAATTGAAAAGGTTGGCCAGCATCACAACCCCAACAAGAAGAGAAGGAGAGCAGAAATACAAAGGAATAATGCATATGTAAACGGAGAGGATCTGGCCTAGAGAAGAGGAGGCGATGCTAACCGGAGCAGACGCCTTCAACAGTGACTCACAGAAACCAGAGTCTAAACTCTCTCACACCTGATACTCAAAGGCGGGTCTCTTATTTTTTGGTTATTTTAGTTAATTGTCCAAAAAGGTGAAAAGAGACTCCAGAGAAAGGCAAAGAAAGATTTTTCTTCCTCCCTCAACCCTCTGCATGCTCAGGAGGCCAGATTGCTCTTATTATTATTTCAGGAATTGAAATATTTAATACAATAGGGAGCACTCACTGAGTGCCTAATGTGTGCTAAACACTACGAAAGGTAGTTTAGCTCTAATTCTTTAATCAATCTTTCAGTGTAAGTATTATTATTCCTTTATTATAGAAGAGAAAGAGTAGAAAAGTTTTCTGGTTATGAAGCAGTGAGTGAGGGTCATAGGTAGAAAAGAATTTCTGGCAAAAGAGAAGCTCCAGCTCACCCAGCTGGAATTCCCCTCTCCCCCCTTCCTCTTCTTCCCCCTTCTCCCCCTCTTCTCTTCTTCCCCCTTCCTCCCTGTCCTCTTCTCTCCCTCATTCCCCCTCCTCCCCCACCTCTCCCTCATCTCCTCTCCCTCTCCCTCCTTCCTCCTCCTCCTCCTCCCTCTCTTTCTCCCTCCCCCTCTCTCGGCAGGAGACAGCTATTTAGTTATTTATTTTGCACTGCTGTGGAATGAGACAAGTATGTAATTAGCAAGAGTTCTGCCTCAAAGTACAATCGTCATCCTAACTGCTGTTTTGTGTTCTTACCCAGACAAATGTCCTCAGTTTCTCCAGTCAGCCCAGGTAAACTTTGGTTATATTTGAGGCCTTTTCCTGAATAGTGGCAACAAGTCTCATACCTTCTGTGATTCTGGGGAGTGATTCCCAGGGTGTTGTACTCACATTTCCTTCTGGACTGCTGCTCTGGTCTCCCCTGCCTGTCCTCTGCTGGCTTCTGAGCACCTCGTATGTTTCCATGACCTTCCACTCTCTCTCCTTCATGCTCTAAGGCACTCCTATTGCAATACTCTTGAGTGGTTCAGATTTTACTAAAAGTTAGGGATAATGGAAGTGAATTATACCTCAGGATAAGAGACAACCAAAAGTTGAGAGCAGACATCACTGGTCTTAAAATCCTTGCCCTTCTTAGCCACAGAGAATCTATTTCATACTGCCACTCTTCATAGCCCTGTCAACCACTGGGTTAGCTATGTGGTGGGACCCGTCATTCCCATGTCCCAATTATTTCCCTCAAAGTACCAGAAGTCAAGCTAAAAATCACTGTTGCCTTATCATGCAGAGGAACTGAGTCCCCTTTTATTCAATATCTTCCATCCCCGCTAGCCTCGGCCCTCTCTTCTGTAGGGGAGGAAGACATTTCCTCTACCCTCTCTGGGTTCATCTGGCCAGAGAATGAATTAAATTCACATGAGACAGAATAGCAGGAGAAAATTAAACAAAGCTTTATAACATGTACACAGGGGAGAGGTCAGGCAAGCTGAGCAACTCGCCAAAATGGCTGAAGCCACCACCTTAAATATCATATCCAGCTAAAGACAAAGGAGGATGTTGGGGGTGGGGGGAGTCAGTTACAGGAGGTTACCAGACAAGCACAATAAACAAATGCAGATTTAAGTCCTTGCCTTCCCCATTGATTAAGAGTTTCTAGAGATAAGGTCATCCCCCCTTCTTCCTGGTACAGAGAGGGAGACATCTTTACAGATGGAGATTTCCTTTACAATGTAAATGTCTCCTAACAAAGGGCAAGCAAGTTCCACTCCTCAGAGCCTCCTTCCCATCTGCAGTTTATTAAAAGTAACCAGCCCCAAATAATCCTCATGCCAAAGAGACATATCTTGGGGTGGCCAATGCCAGTCCCCCACACTTCCATCACCAGTAGGCATATTGAAGCATTTTCCAAAAAAGAAATTTTTCCCTGAGATAGTTTCTATTTTGACCTTTGGAGCGTATAAGCTGCTATCAGTTTTTCTCTTTTTTAATTGCATCTGGTTGTTCCTGCTATACTTAGATTATCTCTTAAGCATAAAGACCAGAGATCTCATTCTACTGTAAAAACTAACACTGTAATGAAGGAGCCAGGAAGGAAACATCACATCATGTTCTTCCCAAAGGCAGGGAGCATACCCCTCCTGGCATATCTTTCATGAGCTCTCAGTAATATCTGGGCAGCTTCAAGGCACTGATGCTGGTGGCTGTGAGGGAAAAGACATATTTGAAAGTTGAGGTGAGATCACCTTCCATCTTGAAATCTCCATCAATCTAACAGGCTCAGCCATCATTCCTGAATAGGCACACAGCATTCGTTTACCAAGTATTCACTGAGCATTATGAAAACATCACAGGCACCATTAAGCACCATTAACCTAATGGTCAACAAAGGATTAAAAGCCCTTGTGATGAAATACAGAGTTCTGTTCTATGGGCTATGGGAAGATGAAAGAGGGAAGTTACAAACTGGCTGAAAGGTTCAATGAAAAGTTCAACTTCATATTATCAAATTCCTTTCTCTTTTTTTTTTAAGATTGGCACCAGAGCTAACATCTTTTGCCAATCTTTTCATCTTCTTCTTCTCCCCAAAGCCCGCCAGTACATAGTTGTATATTCTAGTTGTAGGTCCTTCTGGTTGTGGCATGTGGGATGCCACCTCAGCATGGACCGATGAGCAGTGCATGTCCGAGCCCGGGATCCGAACTGGCAAAACCCCAGGCGGACAACGGGGAGTGCGCCAACTTAACCACTCGGCCACGGGGCCGGCCCTGGTCCCTCCTTTTTCTTCTTTATCCCATTGTTTTGCCCCAGATGGTTACCCCACACTGTGGTTTGAAGGATGCTTCAGCTAAACTTGAAATTCACATGTATTAGTGTTCTGGTTCTTGCAGTTTTGGGAGAGAAGAGAAGGAAATGTGCTCCATGGAGTTGGGCAGCATGGTGGCCCCAGGATTCCACCCCAGGGACGTTTCCTTATATTATCTGTTTTCCACAGATAATTGGAGTCAAGGACCATACGATGTTGTGGAAGAGGCTGTGTTGGTTTGGTGGGAAGATTCTAGCGTTGACCCTCTGGAGACCTGGATTTTAGAACTCCCGAGCCATTCACTGACTAGATAACAAAATGAAGCTCAGTTTTCTCACTAGTATAATAACAGATTTTACTCATTGGATGATTTTAAAGATCCAACAGATTGGATGATTTTGAAGGTCTGTTTCAGATAGCAGATTGTGAATCATTACAGCTGTGAACATCATCTACGTTCTTCATTTCGAGCACCTGTAAAATGAAGATATTGGACTCAATACTCTTTGAAAGGCCTTATCTTACTCTAAAATTCCACGCTCCTATGACTACTTTTTAACTTGTACATAAACACATTTTGAGAGGAAATGCTTTTTGTATTACCAAGTCAATAAACTGAAAAGCAATATACAGCATCATCATACTGGCATTTAACTATGATTTTGCAATTAGTACAGGATGTCACAATGAGAAAGACCAGGAAATTAGATAACACATCCTAGCATCTTTTATAACGTTCCGTTTGAACTGTCAGAAAAATGGGTGCTTGACACTGCAGATCCAAAAAGATTAGATGAATTGTTCTAATTAGAATTGAAGTTGATAAGCAAATTTCTATGAATAGTGAAACAGACTAAAAAGCTGATTGGTGAAAAAAAACGCATGGGAGAGAGAAACAAGCAAGGTCTTTTTTTTTTCCTACAGTGTGTTTGCAAAAAAATTATTGATTGCTGTGGTTTCAAGCACTTGATTTATCTTTCATGACACTTGAAACCCAGTGTTTGCTCTACAGTTTTAAGTTTATTTGGTGTGCTAATAAAGGCCCTGGAGAATCTGAGGGAGAAGATGAAAGCAAATGAGGATTTGAACTGAAAACCAGGCCAGATGGTCATCGAGTCCTCCTCAAGCTGAACTTGAACCATTATTTAGAAGTCTTTTTGAACAAGAACTGAATGATGAAAAGATTTTCAGAGATAATCTGATAGAAGCCATTCGGAAGGGGACTGATAGGTTACTGGAGTTCTTCTGACCCAAAAAACTTATGGAGCTAAACAACATTGTGATTCAACTCTCCCATCTTCTGGTAGAGTGTTGGGAGCAAATATTTTGCATCATAAATACCATGTTTGGAGTTAGTTCTCATTATTTAGTTGGGCCTACAGAAAATCATTAGAAGATATTTTATCAAAAATTCAAAATGCAGGGGCCAGACCCGTGGCTGAGCGGTTAAGTTTGCGTGCTCTGATTTGGCAGCCCAGGGTTTCGCCGGTTTGAATCCTGGGTGCGGACCTGGCACCGCTCATCAAGCCGTGCTGAGGCAGTGTCCCAAATAACACAACTAAAAGGACCCACAACTAAAATATACAACCATGTACCAGGGGGCTTTGGGAGAAAAAGGAAAAATAAAATCTTGAAAAAAGAACATAATGCCTATGTTTAAAAAAAAAAATTCAGAATGCATATTAATTTAGATGAAACTCAAGTTGGGAAGAGGGGAACATTTACACCTTGCCAGACAGCATCTTAAAAATAATCAGCAAATTTAGTTCCAAGTAGTTTTTTCTCCTCTTATTGCACCTAATTGTGTAAATAATCATTACAAACCATATTAGTAACTCTGATTTTCTTGGGGGAAGGAAGGGAATCTGTGGTCTAGCCTCACTGTGACAGTCTGTCATGTAATATTACCGAGTTCTATTTGAAGGGCGATGGGATTTATCTAAGGGCTAGATGAATCTGATAAACCTTCCAATCTCACAATAATCATCACAAATAATATTATCTTTATCTCTTCATTGAATAATGGAATACTGACTCATATTCTTCCCTGATTTAAATCTAAACCAGAGAATTACCTCTTCCCAAAAGATATTCTCAAATAATCCTTTCTGTTGTGCAGCTACAAATCTAATTTAATTCTTTTCAATGTTTTGAAGTATAGATCAAATATTTTCTAACAAATGCTACCACAATGTAAATTTACTTAAATATTTATGTAATTTTAGATATCTTATTCCAGGGCAATAAATGAATTCAGATAACTCCAGGATTAATGAACCAGGTTAGACTTAACTTGAATAATAATGCTTTACATAATTTTGCTGATGTCATACTCAATTGATTTTGTCTCTGTTTTATTATAATCCTCTACAGGCAAGGACAGTGCTTATTTTTCAAAATGTGTTTCAAGTATTCACTGGAATTTTCAGTCACTCTTGGTACCCAAATCAAGAAGAGTTGGCTGGGGGCCGGCCCCGTGGCAGAGTGGTTAAGTTCACACGTTCTGCTTCTCGGCGGCCCAGGCTTCGCTGGTTATGATCCTGGGTGTGGACATGGTACTGCTTGGCAAGCCATGCTGTGGTAGGCTTCCCACGTATAAAGTAGAGGAAGATGGGCATGGATGCTAGCTCAGGGCCAGGCTTCCTCAGCAAAAAGAGGAGGATTGGCAGTAGTTAGCTCAGGGCTAATCTTCCTCAAAAAAAAAAAAAAAAAAATAGTTGGCTCAGGTGGGGTATCCATGTAGGTGCCTTCATGCCAGGGGTCTGGGATAGAGGAACAAACTAGAATTGAAGATGCTTCCTGAACTGACAAGGAAGGGAGAGGACCAGAAGTGCGAGTCCAAACTCAAGTCATCAGAGAATATAGAGGGCAAATCTGGGAAATGGAGGTAAGTGAATGAGTGCAAGGGCAAGAACAAGGAACAAGACGAAAAAGAGACGCAAGTGGAGGGTCAAGAGCTGAGGTGAACCGGAAGCAGGCGGGAGCCAAGGGCGGGACCCTGAACACCATTGTTCTGTTGTGACTACAGCCCCGTGCAAGGCTCCATGGGCTCTGTCCTTATGGACTCATAGGTAGGCCAGGCTGGACTCTGCAGGAGCCACACGACATTTTTCCTGGCCTAGAGCAGTCCTAAATCGCTTGTAGGCCCAACTTTGATGCCTACTTTGCCTTCAAAGGTTGAGGGCACCTCCTTTCAAGCAGAAAACGAGGTCAGGGAGCATCTATCTTTATGAGTTCAGAGAAAGGGGAAAGAGCATGAAGCGCTCCCACAGAAGGCCAAGAGTGTTTTTGTTTCACTTCTATTTTAATTATAATCTCTTCCTTCCTCCAACCAGAACTCTGCTCCCTAGCACAGTGGCTTAAATTTATCCTCGGTGTCCATTTGTCCGTGACCTGTGGGCTCGTCCTAAGGGAGGATAGTGAGGTGGTGAGGGAAGACACAAAGCCCTGAGTGTCCCCTAGGGGTTTGCACGTGAGGCTAACATCCCTTCCAATTTGATCTTTCCTGGATTAACCCAGTTACACTGTAGACCAACCAGAGATGACATGGTCGCTCCCCCCTCCACAAAGGCACATCAGCAGAGTGTTAGAGGAAACAGCCTTTCTAATCTGTGCCATCAGTGCTCTCACTTATCTGGGACCAACAACATGGACAACTCAGGCCCTCAAGTCCATATGTGAATAATGCTTTAATGTAGCTGCAGAATCCTCTAAAATGTGAAAGAACCTCACTTCAAGCCATATTACACCCTAGACAAAGGAACCTCCTCTAGTCTCTTTCTCATCTATTAAGTGATGCCGAAAAAGCAAAACAAAACAAAGCAAAAAATCTTAACTGATTGCATTTTACAGCAAGATCCAGGTGATAATAATATATTAACATAATGTGATGCTATGGTATTAAGATAGCTCAGTAAAACACACACACACAGACCCCTCTCATTATCAGTTCAATCCTTTTTATCACAGAGAAATTAAAGCCCTAAAAAAACCCAGAGGGGTCCCATTTAAATGCCAAATTCTCTTCTTTTACAGCCGTAGCCAGGGGTGCTTCCATTAGGATCAAGTAGCTCTTCAGAATCTCCAGAGTTAGAGAATCCAGCTTAAAGTCTCTCACGTGTATCACTTTTCCAAAAGCATCAAATGAACACATAAAATATCAGAGCTACAGACCCATACCCATATCTATACAATTTAGACAAGAAGATGGGTCACTGTCTAAGTATCAATTTCCTTAGACCGAAATGTTTCAAAACATGATCTATAGAAATTAAGGAGTTGCTTAGCAAGGACGGGGATAGAGGGCACAAGCAGAGAGGCATCCCCACAAAACTAATGCAGCTCCATTTTTAAAAACATTTTTAATATATTGGGGCTCTTCAGAATATTGCATTTGAAAAATAGGTTCTGATCTTTCTGCAACAATTTTGAAAGCTAATGCCTTATAAAATAGTGTTTTCCAAGCTGATAGTCTTCCTAGACACCAATAAATGTCTCATAATCTAGAATCACAGTGCTGGCCCAGCTGTTGATCTCGGCGGAACTAGGGGGCAGGGAGGCTGGGAAGGAAGAGGCAGGGAAAATCGAAGAGAAAAAATGAAAAGCTTTATTATGGTTTCTATTCACCAAGCACAATCAATCAATCGATGCCAGTTGCCCAGTGACCATCACCTGTGAACTTAAAACTCCAGCGGCCACCCAGGAATTTGACTCCTAGATATATATTTAAGGGAAGAGAAGGACTAAGTCCACAAAAAGCCTTGTATAGGAATGTTCATAGCAAACTTATTCATCATAGCCCCAAACTGGAATCAACCCAAACATCCATCAGAAGGACAAACCGTGGTACGTCCATGCAGTGGGACCACTCAGCAACAAAAATGAGTGAACTACTGACACAGGCAACCACAGGAAGAAATCTCAAAGCTTTTGAGCTGCAAAAAGCCAGACCAGACACTAAAGCATACACACTGTATGACTCCACTCTTAGGAAGTTCTAGAAAAGGCAAACCTAATCTACGGCAGAAAAAAAATCAGAACAGTGGTAGCTTCAGGGAAGCGGGTTGACTGGGAAGGGGCACAGGGAAGTTTTCAGAGTCATGGGATGTTCTGTATTTTGGCTGAGGTATGGGTTCCATGAGTATATTTGTCAAAATTGATCAAACCATACACTTAAGAGTTGTGCATTTCACTGTATGGAAACTTCATCTCAATAGACTTAACTTGGGGGAGAAACATTCAACTGAAAAATTAGATATGGAAAAAATATAAGAAAACATAGCAAAATATCATTATGAGCTCGGAGTAGAAAACAATTTCTTAAGCAAGATATGCAACATTCTATATAGAAAATATTGACAAACGTCTTTATTGAAATTAAAAACTTATGTGATGAGGAGACATACAAAAAAGCCAATTCAGAAATGACCAATAAATCTTTAAAAGGATGCTTGACCTCATGAGTAACCAGGTGAATGCAAATTGTTAAAAAAGAAACTATTGTAGACCTATCATATTGGCAACAATTTCAGAGTCTTGTGATCTGGCGAAGCTGCGGGACTGCAAATCATACTGTGCTGTGAGATTGTCCATCACTTCAGCCATTTTAGTAAAAAAGCACTTTCTAGTATCTAGTAATTGAATTTCTGATATACACCCTAGAGATATTGGTACACGGGCACAAAGAGCATGTGCAAGGAGGGTTACTGTAGCAGTGTACATACTAGTGAAAAAATGGATTCTACTTTAATGTCCATTAATAAAGAGATGGATAAGTAAAAGGTGGTATACTCAAATAATGCAATATTACATGGCACTTGGAAAGAATAAACTATATTGACATGTATCAAGATGATAGATCTCAAAAACGTGTTAAAATAAATATAATACCATATATTGTTTATAAAGATATATTTATATCTAAATATGTAAAAACCGGATCTGATGGATACCTACAAAAATCTTGATATTGGCTACATCTGGGGAGCAAAGAAAGAAAAAACAAGTAAAGCAACGGTCGAAAAGGACTTTATCTGAAGTGCGATATTTAAAAATATCAGGAAGAAGCATCCATACGCAAATAAATGAATCTTGATTCATTTCTCACACCTTATACAAAGATTAATTCAAAATGGATCATAAAAATTTAGGTGTTGATTCTAGTCTGTGACCTTGGGTTAGGCAAATTAGTTCTTAGATATGATACCTAAAGCAAAGGCATAAAGAAAAAATTTTTGATAAATTAGACTTCCTCAAAATGCAAAACTTTTGCTCTGTGAAAGACACTACAAAAGCACAAAAAGACAAGTCACAGGCTGGGAGAAAATACTTGAAAATCACTTATCTGACAAAAAGTTCTTTAGATATTCTGGATATTCTGGTCAAAATTCAACGATAAGAAAATGAACAACCAGGGGCTGGCCCAGTGGTGCAGCAGTTAAGTTCACGTGCTCTGCTTTGGCGGCCCAGGGTTCACCAGTTTGGATCCTGGGCATGGACCTACCCATTGCTTATCAAGCCATGCTGTGGCAGGCATCCCACATATAAAGTAGAGGAAGATGGGCACAGATGCTAGCTCAGGGCCAATCTTCCTCAGCAAAAAAGAAGAGGATTGGTGGCAAATGTTAGTTCAGGGCTAATCTTCTGCAAAAAATAAATAAATAAACTAAATAAAAAAAGAAAATGAACAACCAAATTTTTAATAAAATGAGCAAAGATTTGAACAGACACTTCACTAAAGGAGATGTACGGATAGTGAATAAGTACATGAAAGATGCCCAGCATCATTAGTCATTAGGGAAATGCAAATTAAAACCATGATGAGACAACACGACATCAATCAGAATAGCTAAAATTAAAAAAAGAACCTGACAATTCCAAGTGCTGACAGGGATAAGGGGCAACTGGAATCCCAGAGATGGCTGCTGGAAATGCACAGTGATACAGTCACTTTGGAACATCTCAGGCAAAGCAAGGTAGGTGCTACAGCTGCACTCAGGCCGCCTATGAGGAAGTGGTAGGCTGAGAGAATATGGGTGGGGTACCCACAATGTCTGTTCCCACCCCCATGTAACTCTCCTTCAGTTCCCAATTTACTGAGGGCTCTGTGGGGTTCTTGAAAGTAGGCCAGTCCAAGCATAAAGACTCAGCATCTCGCATATACCACAACGCTTTTACCGCAACCCTGACTAAGAAACACAATAAAGGGGAGAAAACACAGGGTGCTTGCCACCCATGCCAGATACAGTCAAACCAACAGCTCACACATCAGCACCCTGCGTCTTCTGAGGTGAGCTTGTCCTGTCCCTAGGGAGGATGGCTAGGGTGGCCAACACCAGATTCCACTCACTCCATGTGGAACGTCACTCATCAGAGACGAAAAATGCTTCTGTAGGGTGAGGTTCCTGGTTGAATCTAGTGAAGAAGGAGTAGGAAGAGGGGAAGGAACGGGAAGAGCAAAAGCCCCTACATTACCGCCAGTGCCCCATCCAGCTTACTGGGTCCTCTCCCAGGGCAGCCCTGCAGGTCTCTCCATATGGAATGAAGCCCAGAAGTGTCAATCTCCACGCAGTTTGAAGTCCCCTGGGAACTTGTGTCCACATCTATATCTCCTTTATCAACTCATCTGGATCTGCTGTCCTGTGCCAAATGTTATTTATACGTCTAGCAGATTTCAATATGGTCACGATGCTTATGAATCTTGAAATCCCGAATCCTGGGCTGCCACCTACGACAGTAGACAGGGATAGGCAAAAAGAAACCCTAGGCAAGGGCCCCCTTGATTTCATCTCTTTTCTCAGGCAACCCTATTAGGTCACTTTTAAAAATCAACTTTATTAGATAAAATCTGCATACAGTAAAATGCACTCATTTAAAATATACAACTTGATGAGTTTTAACAACTGTATATCCCCACATCTAAGCAGCACTACAGTTGAGATAGAGAGCATTTCCTTCAGCCCCAGATGGGTTGTCAAGCCCTTTGCAGCCAATCTCTGCCCCCAGGAAACCACCGCTCTGCTTTCTGTTACTATAGTCTTGCCTTTCCTAAAATTTCTTATAAATGGTATCGTACAGTATTACACTTTTGCGTCTGACTTGTTTAGTCTAACTTTGAAATTCATTCATTCTATTGCACACGTTAATAGTTTACTCCTTTTTATTGCTGAATAATATTCTAGATCATTTTTTAATATAAGGACAACTTTTTCATCTCTGGATTAAGAGCTAGACCACAGATAGCCAGCTTAGACGCCTAGAGAAGCCAGGTAAGTAACGTAAGCGACAGAAAGGGTCTGCTGTAAGAAAATTTATTCTCGAAACACTAGACCCTCATGTTATAACCTTATTTTCCAAAGAAATATTTCCCTTTCCTCAGCTTTAGGAAAACATATGTAAATATAATGATAAATGGCAACTGCCACTTGGCCTTGATTTTTGGAGGGACAATAAGGAATGAAGGGGGTAGCGGAAAATTACAGAGTTCACACCCATCTAGGGGAAGCAGATTTGCTACATGGGGACTCGAGACCAGGTTTCATATTTTCCTATTGCCCTGGAGAAGGAGAAAACTTGGGTTTGTATGTGAAATCTCCTGAGTCTTATATGCTGGAAATAAATTCAAATTTTAATAAGAGCACTGGACAGGCCAACTCTGTTCAGGTCAAAAAAAAAAAAAAAAAAATGTAGGGGCCAGATGTGGACGGGGAGCCACCACACTGTGTCCTCTGATGGGGAGTAAAACCCAGCCCAAGCCACCCACCTCAGGCTGCTTTCTGTGGAACCGTCCTCCTCCTGCTAGGACCTCCCAGCCTAGAGGGAGCCCCAGGGCTGGCTTGCCTCATTGGCTGCAAGGAAGAGAAAGGAAAAAAGAGAAGCAAAATCATTCTAAAGTCCCAAGAAGACAAGAGGAAGTGAGTATTTGCTACAGGCCAGTTATTATTTTTTCTCCCACACTGCAGCAGTGTGGGAATACATACACTGGAATCACTGGGGGTAGAAAATACAGATTTCCAGGTACCCTCCCAATTTACTTAACTACAATCTGTGGTGGTTAGGCCTGCTGTGGATCTTCATTTCAACAAGCTCCTCAGGCTATTCTTATCCACATTGAAGTCTGACACCCACTGCATTGGATTCTTCCACTTTTACTACAAAACCTCAGTTGCCATTGGGAGTCCATTTTGTCCTACCTCTAAATTTGACGTCTCTGTTGTGGGAAAAAGTAATAGGGAAGAAAGGAAGGCCTTGAGCTCCCCCTAGGGGTTATCTTGGAGACTGAACAGGTTTATAAGTGATTTTCCAGAGGTGTCAGGAATACAAATAGGTAGTATTTTTGAGTCCTTGCTAGCATCAGGCATTGTGATTGGTCATTCACACAAATTATCTCATTTAGTCTATGAGGTAAGTGCTATTATTACTTGAATTTTACAGAGGAGGAAATTCACCTGCAAATCCAATGGCACGGTTGATCAGTCCCCCGTCAGTATATTTTCTTCACTTGGCTTCCAGGACGCCTTACTCCTTTTCATTTGCCTCCTCTCTCACTGGTTATTTCTTCTCAGTCTTCATTTTAGACCCCGCTCTTCTCCAAGATCTATTAATTTTGGAGCGCCCCAGGGAGCAGTCCTTGATTTTCTTCTTTCCTTGTACCAACTTTCTCAACGAACGCCTTTACCGATATGACAACGACTCCCAAATTTCTATCTTGTGACCCACCTCTCTCTCGAACTTTAGACTCATATAGGCAGCTGCCTACTTGACATGCCCACTTGGTGCCTCACAGGCATCTCAAACTTAACATGTCTAAAAATTAAGTTCTCATCTTCTCCCACAAACCTACCCCATCAGAGGTTGTTCCCATTTGAGTCGATGGAAACTCCACCCTTCCAATTGCTCATACCAAAAACGCTGGTATCCCTGTCGACTCCTCTCACTCACACCCCTTCCCTCCAGCCCCCAGCTACCACTCTGGCTTGAGTCATCATCATCTCTCAGCTAGATTATTGCTACAGTCTCCTACTTGGTCTTCTTGCTCCCAAACCAGCCTTTCAAGAGACTATTCCCAGTACAGAAACCAGAATGACCTTCCTAAAATGTAACTCAGAGCATATCATTCCTCTGCTTAAAATCCTCCCAAAGCTTCCCATTTCACTCAGACCAAATGCCGAAGTCCTTAAATGGCCAGTGAGGCCCTCTACAAGCAGGGCCTCATCGCCTCTCTGACCTCACCTCCTGTTACTCTCTCCCTCATTCATCCCACACCCGCCATACTGGTCTCCATGCTTTCCTCACACTGTCCTGCCTTGTTTCTGCCTGAAGGCTTGCGCCCTGGCTCTTCCATCTGCCCGACACATTCTTTCCCCAGGAGTCCACTAACTACTTCACCTCCTGCAAATCTTTACTCAAATGTCACCCTCTCAGTGAGGCTCACCTTATCTCCTCTGTCAAAAACTGCAAGCGGTCCCTCCCTCCCCCTGCATGCCCAAATCTCTTAGCACCCTCTACTTTTCCACAGCATTTTATGGGCTTCCAACATATTATATAATTTAACTATTTATTATGTTTTTAGTTATTTTTTCTCCCCCCCCACTAGAATGTAAGCTCCAAGAAGGCGGAGACTTTTAGATGTTTTGTTTACTAACATAGCCCAAACACATAGATCAGCGCCTGAAATTGAACAGAAATATTTCTTGAATGAGTAAGACACAAAGCGGTTACATACCCAGTCCTAAGTATTTCAGTAACCCATTTGAGAAGTAAATCTGAATAACAAAGAATTGTTTTCTCCTTATAGAAAAGCAGAATATAGCTCTCTGCAGTCTGTTCGGCAGCTTCCAAGGGAAGGAGTGCTGAGCCCCAGCACATACAGCCGCTCTTAGTTACAGAAGCAACCGATAGCCATGTGCTGTGTGGATCATCTACCTCCCCTGCAGCAAAGTCCAGGCTCCGTCGGTTGTATCACCCACAGAGCTAGGCATTGTCTTCTTTACCCAACAGATTTGGAGAATATAATGCTGAGGTACAAGTTGTATTTTTCCTTACATTGAGAAGCAAGACACAGTCTGTGGCAAATGTTTCTTCTATACTATTTGGGGTTTCAAAATGAGTTCCCGGAAGCTGTAATTCACAAAAAGCAGCAATGTAAAATTCTGTGAAATGTATTTTCTATAACTGGGTTACTGAGTAAGGCTGACGTACCATTAGATATACCTTGAGAAGAGATGCAACAAATGCCTCAGCCCGGAGCATTCTGAATTGCCAGCAACGGTCAGCGTCATGGAGCAGCGAGCGACGGCTTCCTACAGCAAGAATTGCAGTGCGTTCCCGCTGTGCCTGCAGTTGTATGTCACTGTGATGAGCAGCTGAGGTCCGGGCCGCGTTCTCCACGTCCTCGACATGGCTCGTCAAACTCAAGCTGACCAACTGCAGAACCCATCTGTTCACCCTGATGGTAGACTGCCCCCCAAGGGTTCAGGCTTCTGAAGGAAATCCAGATTCTGTTCTCCCTGCTTTGTCACCAATCCCAAATCCTGCCCTGGTCTCACCCTAGTCTTGCCAAGTCTCCCAGCATTACAACCATATGGCTACTCCCAACCTGTTGACCAATAGGTCGAGGTCAGTTTAAAAATGTAAATCAGATCATCATCACTTCTGCCCTCAAAATCCTCTGGTGGCTTTCCAGTTCACTAGAATAGGAGCCGAGTCCTCACGGCGGCCCACAGGGCCCACTGTGATCGCTTTCCCACTCCCAGCGTGTCTGTAACCACCCCTCTGTTCTTCTTTCACTCACTTTGCTGGGGCTGTTCTGGCCTCTGCTTTGCCTCAGGGCCTTTGCACCAGCTGTCCTGTCTGCCTGGAACACCCTCCTTTCCTCCTCCCACATAACCACACGCCCCTCTCCCCCCTCCCCCCTCCTTCTGGTCTCTGCTCAAACGTCAGTTCATCAGAGGGATTTTCCCAGCTATCATATTTAAAATAACAAGCCCCCTTCCTACCCCACTCCCTGTGCCTTTACTCCGCATTTTTTCCCATAATGCCCATCACAACCTGGCATAGGCTACACTGTGCTTGCTTGTTTGTTCAATGGTCATGGCGCCTCCCAAGAATATACAATCCAAGAGGCAGGGATCTGTGCCTGTTGTGTTTATTGTTGTAGTGCCAGAGCCTGGAACAACGCTGGCATATGGTAGGGGCTCCATAATTATTTGTTGAATAAGTGAATATCTAAATAAATGATGGTCAAAGCATCCCTCTGGGGAGGCGATACATTTATTCCAATGATACTGCCATTGCTCAAAATACACCAAGGGCAATAGTGGAAACAGGGAAGCCAGTTAGGAGGGGCTATTTGAATGCTCCTGGAGAAAGACGCTAATGGCTTCGATTTGAACAGGTGGTAGCAGGAGGCAGTGAGAAGCAACTGGCTTCTGGACACAATTTAAACATAGATCCAACAGGTCAAGGTCAGTCTGTAAATCACACACTTATGGAAACTAGTCTCGGTATTTAAAAGACAACCTCCCTTTAAAGAAAGTAAAAAATACAACTGCTCAGTTTTATCACATACATCATTTACTGGTCCCAGAATCTTACGATATATGGCTATTGCAGAAACCAAATTCCCCCTTGAAAAGGGAAATGAGAATCACTGAAGACATTCAGGGGCTCTGAATTAAATTCCCTGTATGAAGAAAGAATAATTCTGATTTTTATTGAGCACATTTTTGTATTATCCTCACAGCGATCCTCTGAGGTCCTTGTTATTAACCCCATTTTTTGCATGAAGAAAATGAGGCTCAGAGAGGCGAGCTAATGTCCTCAAGAGCTCCCAGCTGCGGAGCCGGAGGATTTAAATCCAGCCCGGGGCCACGCGTTTCCCGGTGAGTAAGCGCAACGTGCTGGGACCCGATGGAGATGCTGCCCAGAAGAGAACGCTCATTTAGGCATTTCAGTATGTCTTATTTCCCTCTCTTTCTCGACTTTATACTCACATCTTATAAGCATAACTTCCTGGGAGGGGCAGAGCCCTGCAGCAAAAACAAGACGTAGCCAGGACGAGGGCGCAGCTCTGTTTTCCTGCTCTTCGGGCTGGAACGGAGCCTCCTCTCCAGGGCTGAGGGCCTGGGTCCAGCGGTGCGGCTCCTCCAGACACTGTTTCCAGTGTCCCTGGGAGAAAGCGTTGCCATCGCCATGGGAATTTGATGCTTTCCAGGGCTATGCAGCCAGTATTGTCTCGGCACAAGGAACTATTGTTCGGGCAGAAACAGAGGGTGTTTCTCACGGCGGGGGAGTGGGGCTTGACTAAGGATCCACATTTCAACAATGCCTCCTTTTGTAAAAACGGCTGATTTTGTTTCAGGCTTATGTGATTTTTTTCAGACTCAGATCACAGCTCCTAACAACTGTCTCTCCTACAGTCTTTCTTAAGAATGTCAGGTATGCGTTCCTGGATGTGATGCACTCACGGGATAAACATCTCGTTGCATGTTAACAGAACGGCTCCGTGCAGTCCTGAGCAGACTCGGCGACGGCCGTGGCGGAAAGGCCGGAGCGTGGGCAGGGACGGTCCCCGGTGGGCGCGGGCGCGTGTGGAGAGCAGCGCCTAACGCAGCAGGCCCTTTAGATGCTTATTCCAATTAATCCCCACGGTCACCCGAGCAGATACTATGTAAACTTTACAAATGGGGAAGGTAATTAGGTAACTGGAGCAAAACCACACAGCTGGTGAGAGGGGAATCTGGGACGGGGTCCCAGGCCTCACTCCAAACCTGTTCACTTTCCATTTCCTGTTCCGTGCTCCCTCACTGACCTTTTCAACTTCAGTTTGCTCAGGTGAGCCACCTGGCAGGAAGAGCGCATGAGCTGGCCGGTGAGAGGTGCTCCCGAACGTCTCTACCACAGGGCATGTCACAAAATAGGTACTCACTAAAATCCAATTTTCTCTTCTCTGTCTTCCTTCTGCATCATTTCATCTTTGCTTTTTTCTTTCTCCAATTCTTTCAACTCCTGCTTTCTTTTCATTCTCATATTCTTTTCTCTGTGGAAAACTAAAACCTAAAGATCCCATTCCCAATGGCAACATAAACTTAAAAAAAATCCCCTAGGAATAAACCAACAAGAATGGTGCAAGGCGCTCTGCTTGGGCAGCCCAGGTTCAGTTCCCAAGTGCAGACCTACACCACCCGTCTGTCAGTGGCTGTGCTGTGGAGGTGCCTCACATCCAAAAAAAAAAAAAAAAAAAGAGGAAGATTGGCTTGGCAGCAGATGTCAACTCAGGATGAATCTTCCTCAGCAAAAAAAAAGAAAAAAAAAAAAAGAATGGTGCAAGGTCCACATGAAGGAAACTTAAATTTTATCAAAGACATAAAAGAAGACCTGAATAGATGAAAAGCTATATGTGTTTCTGGATGAAAGACTCAATATTCTAAAGATGTCAGCCTTCTCAAATTAATCCATAAATTCAATACAATCTGAATAAAAATCCTGACCAGAGATTTATTGAACTTGATAAACTGATTTCATAGTTCATATGGAAGAGAAAATGCACAAGAACAAGCAACAAAATTAAAGGGAAAGAAAAGGAACAATGAGGAAGGACCTGACTTTTCAGTTATCAAAATATACTGGTTATGTCAATTAAACAATGTTGTGTTCAGAATAAAGACACAGATAAATGGAACCAAAAAGGACAATTCAGGGACAAAGGGACATTTAGAATATAAAAAGGGAGCACTTTAAATCAGAGCAAAAAGGACAGACTGTTCAAAAATGATATTGAGAAGGTTGGAAATCCTGAAAAAATTAATAGAGATGCTTGTATCACGTCATACACACAAAATCCAAATGGATTAAATTCTAAACACTAAATTAAAAATGAGATTAAAAAGGAGCTAGAGTGAAATATAGTATATTAGTTTTTACAATTTTGGGGGTTCCTAAAGAAGGCCTTCCTAAGAAAGACACAAATCCCAGGACCCATTAATAAAAAGGTCTTAATTAAAAAAAATTAAAAGATCTGTATGACAAAAAACGTCCAAATAAAAGGGCCTAGTGAAAGTCTTTGCAAAATATATAAAACCAAGTATAACATACAAAATATATTAAAAGTTCCCAAAATTATTATGAAAAGATATAAAACATAAAACTGGGCAAAAGAAATATAGAGACTTCACAAAAATGATTGATAAAATATAAAAGGATGCTTAATCTCAAAAATAATAAAGGAGGGGCTGGCCCAGCGGTGCAGCGGTTAAGTGAGCACGTTCTGCTTCAGCGGCCCCAGGTTTGCCAGTTTGAATCCCAGGTGTGGACATGGCACCGCTTGGCAAGCCATGCTGTGGTAGGCGTCCCACATAGAAAGTAGAGGAAGATGGGCATGGATGTGAGCTCAGGGTCAGTCTTCCTCAGCAAAAAAAGGAGGATTGGCAGCAGATGTTAACTCAGGGCTAATCTTCCTCAAAAAAAAAATAATAATAATAAAGGAAATGCAAAATAAACAATGAAGTACACTTTATAACTAATTGGGTTGTTAAAAATTCAATAGATTGATACCAGTGTTATCAGGGGGAAAAGACAATTTCATTCACAGTTTGTAAGAGTGTAAATTGCTACAAATTTTTTATGACAACTTGGAAATATCTATCAAATTTAAAATAAGCATATCCTTGAAATTTTTAATTCCACTTTTAAGAAACTATTATTCTGAAATATTCACACATGCTCATAAAATATATAAACATGGATAGTCATTGCAGCTTTATTTATAATGAAAAATTGGAAAAGGGCAGAAATATCCCTCAATTAGAGAATAGTTAAATGAAATATGGTCCATTTATATTATGGAATACTACACGATAATTGAAAAGATGAGGTAGATTTATATTTACTACATAAAAGAGTTCTAAGACATATGGTTAAGTGAAAAAAGCAAGACACCACATGCTGTGGGCAAAGAGCCCTTGGTTTTTTACTCTAACATTTTCATCGTATTGTATTGATTTGAATCTGTATTATCTGTAGTAGGCACATTTTGCTTATGTAAAGAAAATAAAAGGAATCTTAACTTGATCCCAGTAACCGTAACAGTACTATTAGTGTTCTCACGTATACAGCATGTTTTCTGGGCTGTGCCCTCCCAGGTCAGGGGTGGGTTGGTGACACGAAGGGCAAGAGGCTGGAGGCCCAAGGTGATGCTGAGCCAGCACAAGAAAGCAATGCTTCTGCTTGGCTCCCAGTTTGATGTTCCAGCTGTCGGCAGGAATCACTCCCTCGCTTCCCTCTCCTGCTTTGAGCTTCAGCGGAAGTCCTTCCGGCAGTGGGAACCGTGTCACCCACGACCCTCCAAGGTGGCTGCCATCTTCTATTTCTTGATAAACTCTCTCCTGTCACAGGGAAAAGGCAGCACTAGGTGTCCGTCCTCCTTTTGTTCCAAACCTTTCATTCTTGTTTAGCTGAAACATTTAGGGAAAAAAAAAATCTTTAAAATTTTTTGGTAATATACACAAATACAGATGTGTAAAGAGTATATATTAGACTTTACATCAAACATGATTTTTCCTGGCAAAACTCCTTTAGAAAATTAAAAGAAAACTATCATCATTCATAACAAAGTCATTCTTCTCCTACAATATTTCTTTGCATATGTATTTCTTCTAATTATTTTGTACTATTTTTGCACTATTTTCAAAACATTTTTCTTCCAATTAGGTTTTTCACCTTCTAATTATTTTGCTCTGTTTTCATGTTTTTTTTCAGACGACTATAGTGGTTAGCCTAAAGTTCACATGACAGCAAGCTGGAACTAGAATTGTAAGTGATTAGAAAAACATCAAAGCAAGAGGAATAATTCTGCACCTACTGAGGAACAATGAAAGGACTTGAAATAGCAGAATGAACTCTGGTCTGAAAATCCAGAGACCTCACCTTCTGCTGTTCTGTGTGAGTCAGTCCACGCAACCTTGCACAAATGTGTGGTCTCTTAGATATTTTACAGATAGATGAATTTCTTTATCTGTAAACTAAGTGGATTGGATGACAAAATTTTAAAACTCCCTTCCAGTGATAAGATTCAGAGATTCCATTGATTGTTGGGAGTGCAGAACAATGGGCAGGCAGAACTTCTCATTAGAAACTACAGTAGCAACAACATTAATAGCTACCGTTTCATGAGCTGTTACTGTGTGCTGAGAACTAGCTATGTGGTTTCCATGTGTTATCTTTGATTCTTATAACAACTACTGGAGGTAGAGATTACGTCCTCCATTCTGTAGATGAAGAAACTGAGGCTCAGAGAGTCAATTTTCCCCAGGGCATACAACCAAAAGCGGGGCCTCTGGATTTGAATCCAGGTCTAATTCTGAAGTTTGTCTTCTTAAGCCAAGAGCTAACTATCACCTTTGTACAGATTTTATAGGCTACCTTTGTGTTATTGCTGCTGTGGAGGGGGAGAGGTTAGCAATTTGGTGCCTTTAAGAGTCCCATATTGTTTCAGAAAGTGACTATAACCAAAAGCTTCTTCCATTCTCTAGAATGATTAGTTGTGGATGGGGCACCGCGTTCCCAATACCAGGCCGGAAATTTCTAGCTGTGAGGGCATCCTGAAAATTTCCACTAAAATGAGAAATGATTTGAGCAAAAGACAGTTGAATCTCCCAAACAAGCCTTAGACAAGACACTTCCGGGTCAGGTTCCCAGCGAGCCTGGATGCCAGCGATTCACTCATTATGTGATTAAGTGACGGGCTTATGTTTCCAGAGCTCATGATTTAAAAGCTTTCTGTGGTATTAAACGGAGGCACATGAAAACACAAAAGGCAATTACAAGCAATCAAAGCATTCAGAAATTAAGATTCAATTTCTGCGTTTGCTAAACTCTTCATCAAGGAAATCAGTAAATTTTTTAAGGGGCCATGAATATGATATACACAGAGAATTTAAAAAGCAATCAGTTTTCAAATGTACACATGCTTCCAAGAATGCCTAGGACATTCAGGATGGAGCCGGTTTTCACTTGTCTCATTACATTGCATTTGTTAGACATGTGCCTTTGAACGCTCTCTTGAGTAACATTTCTCTTTCAGTTTGACAGATGAATGGGTATGCAATTCCCTGAGTGCCAGAAAAACCCTTATGAGCATCAAAGAATAAAAGGCACATTGAGCTATTTACCCCAGAACTTCCAGCACACTGCAGTGGGCATGCTTCTCTTATTTGGGTTTTGGTGCATAAGATGTTGGAAAATCCCTTAAGCCACACTCAACCAGGTGGATCTTAAGGTTTGTGACTGTCCTTTCATACTCAGCCTCTAAGAACCTACCAGGTGACACAGAAGACAGGGTTAGAAATCATTAGCTTTCTATCCAAGCAACCCTTTGGCGTCTTCAATTAGTACTTTCATCTTCCTCAGGGCCAAATTCAATACCTTTCAGAATTTGAAGTAGCTATTTTACTTCCAGTCCAACATCCCTCACCCTCCCAACCCATGAGTCATTGACGTTTTTCTCTTCTCTTAGTGTGGCTCAAACACACCTTTCCCAACTTCTCTAATTCATCAAGTTTTTCCTGCCCGGAGCCTTTGCACCTATTGTTATCTCAGCCTGAAACACCCCCACGTGCCCTCTCCCAGCTGGCTCATTCTTCAGGTTTCACTTAAACGTCACCCCTCAGGAGAGGTCTTCCTTACTACCCCTTAAGTACATCCCCCTCCGCCATCTCCATTTGGTTCCATTACTTTAAAAAATCATAGAACGTTATTTCCTTATTTTAGAGCAATCACAAGTGTAATTGTATATGTAAAAATCACTTGTTTTCTTTTATTATTTCTGACTTTTCCAACAGAACTGTGAAGTCCATGAGAGTAGAGATCACTTTTATACACACACACACACACACACACACACATATAATTCATTGTTGTATTTGTGACCTTAAGGTATACACATACAATATTGTTCCCAAGTCAAAAATGATACTTATATAAACACATCATAAGAAAAGGAAACTACAGATCAACATCCCTCATGATGATAGAGAGAAAAATCCTTAACAATATAGAGGTAAACGCAGCTCAGCAACATATAAAAGCAATTATATGTCATGACCAAGTGGAGTTTAACCCAGAAATACAAAGTTAGTTTAACATCTGAAAATCAATTAATGTAACACACTATAATAGAGTGATGAAGAAAAACC